TCTCGTTTCTCATGATTCGACATTATACGATAGAGTTATTTTGGACCTTCAACCGCCTAATCTCTACCTTAGGTGTTAGTGATTACTTAGCAGGGAATGCTACACATTCCATCACAGATTATCGATAACCCCGACGATGTTTTCAACAGTCACACCGAATTTTAATTCACGTTTTAACTCGGCCTCCATTGTTGGCCTAATTAAAAGCCTCACGAGAACAATAAAGAGTTTGCAACTGGTTCGTTGTTAGCGAAGTGATGGGCTGTCGTTATCTTGTTATTTTGCTGCAGTTTGCAAGCTGCTGTTTTGCAGATTTGGGGGTATAAGTGAAGCGACAACGGGCAGGTGATCGGTCGCGCAATAAACGAACCAGACAGATTACCTAAGCAAAGGGTTTTGGGGAGTTTTTCTGCTGCTGCTGCTAGTAATTTCCTTGGACGGGTTTGGTTGACAGTCTGCTTGTGAGTTGAGCCGTCGTCCACTAAACGGTCGCATCCATCTTCACTCTAATCGCTTCCATTAAGATGACAAATTATCTAATAACGGGCATTATCGGTGTTTACTGCTATGTATTTGGGATCAGTAGCTATCTTCCGATCATTTCGAAGCAACTACAATCCACGGGCTTCAAGTAAGCATACTCCTCGTGTGTTCCAGATTAATAGCCGGGCAAAATTGTAACAAAATCGTGAAATTTCGGACCGAGTGCTGAGCCTTCTTTGTGAACTAGCTCCTGAATTGTCTTTCCCAAGTCGCCAATTGCTGTTCGATTGTGTTGAGTGGATTTGTGACGGTGCAGTGTATTTTTACAGGCAAAAAATTAACTAATGTTCCGAAATACCCATCAGCCTTCATCGGTGCGATTTGCAGCATTTTTAAAGCACTCTCGTTTTAATGTCCAGGTATCTGCAAATCTCCAAAACACATCGGCCACATTTAACGCGAACGTTGTGTTAAGCAGGCAGCTTTTCCCGTAAAAAATTTACGCAAATCGACTGGACTCGTGGTTATCAGATGTAACTGGTAATTGTAGGGTCTTTAAATTTGTAGAAAAAAACATATTTTTGCTTGAATTCCCTGGATGTGCTAAGAAAAATCGAAAATAGAGACGCCATCGCCGAGGTAGCTGAAGCAGCCCAAAGACGCCACTAATTCCGTCACGTGCTGAGGTTCAGATGCACATCCACCGCTGACCTTTGACCTAACGCACGTGGAAGAGAGCTCACTGGTGCCACAGATTCGGCGTTCACGTATTACCAGAGAAAAGCATGCCAGTGAGGTTACACGTAAGTAGAATTAGTTCTTTATCAAAAGTTAACTTTTGATCAGAATATTGATTGTGATCTTCGCATATCAAGTTCGAGGAGAGGAAAGGGTCTCAGTTTGAGTCATAACTTTCTAAAGTACGCGGACTCTACTTTGTAAATTTAAACAATGAAAACAACCAGGGGAGTTTGCTGCCTGGAACAAACTTTTCTTCCTAAACACCTAAAACCTCAACAGTCGACTGTTTCAAGCTGATATAATTTATCGGTGGGGCATATTTTGCGGTGTGCGCCACTTAGCTTAAGTGAAACCACACCCAAAGACATGTGCTTAGCATAAAATGCCACTAAACGTCGGCTCGTGTGTTTATAATTAGTGCGGCTTATTAAAGTAATCGAGGAAGACACTTTAGCAGGAGTACTCATGCACCAAATGGACTGTACACGGGTGTCCCTACAGCAACCTGTATTAATTCGGTTATCACGACGTAAAACTCTTGTGGCTTTTAGCTTATTATAGAGGTAGCGTTTAATTTCGACCAAAAAGACTGTGGCGTAGCCGGTGCAGTGTTACTCGGACATTAATTGGACAGTACCAATGGGCCTTATCTGGTGCATTTGGCCTAATGTCATCTCAGCTAAGACTTTGATATCGTAAATAGCATAATTTTTTTTGGTGTGCCATAGGCACACAAGTAGCTAGAACTGGTACACTTTGAAGTTGCTGGGCTACAGTTCAACTTTTTTATCTCAGCGATTTGATTGGATTAAAGGCAAAACCAATCGATTTTGAGCGGCCATTTTCAATCGATGCTTAGCAATTTTAAATGAGGGTGTTTAGCGTAGAGGCGGACAGCTCTTTATTCCACTGGAAACAGCAACCTGGTGGACGTGTTTGATTATTTGGTGCGTGCGTCTGTGATTGGTAGGTCTCAGGGTCGCACTAGTCACGAAAAATTGGGGCATTAGAAGTTAGCATGAATTGGAAGTAGAGGGTAGCAGTAAAACTGCCTTTTTGCTGAAGGCATTATATCCTCCCGCCAGTCGTGAGTCATCATCTCACTAACCAATAAACAATTCGCTGATGAATTAGCTTTGTAAATGTCAATTTGAAGCAATGAATTTTACCGGGCCTTGAATATGATTATGTGGAGGGTTAGTTAAAACAGCCTAACATGACATGTTAAAATGTTTCTTGGAGTACAGCCCCGAGAGGCCTCATTTCCATCCACACGTCAATAAAAAGTGTAATCAACGGGCTTTCTTAACTAAGGAGAGCGAGATTTCTGTTCAACACACCTGAGAGGATAATGTGTTTCTGCGCATAAATGCCTCCCATGCACGTCCGTGAGCTGAACACGCAAAGCTTTCTAGCACATTGTGCTTATTTACAGGGAAAAGAATTATTCTCGATAGTTTTGACCCTTCGTAAAGGTCAACTAACTGGCGTCTAGACTAGCAGTTGATCATTACACGTGGAGACAGCAATGATGGTTTTTTACTGAAAACTGACAATCAAAAAGCACAAATAGGCGTCTCGTTAGGTAATCCATAAGCACAGTTCACAAAAAGTTAATTTGTAACTTTTGGGGATCCACTATACCCTCAGATTGCTCATCGTTGGTTTTTGGCAATATTTACATTAATTTCTTAACATTTGTTTTATTACGCTTTTTATCAGGTCAAGGTCAACCTTGACTTGAATTAGTGTTCACTTTTGACAACTGACTCGCACTTTGACTGAGGCGCTTAAAGCTCTCTGCACGAGCTCTGGTCTTGTTCTTGCAGTAGCGTGGGAAGGTCGGTGCTAGCGTCAACAAGGGATCTGGTACCGTTGTCTGAGCGGTTTTCTCTGTTACGGGGACACTTAGTAGTAGCACGCCTTGGGGTTGTGTTTGATTGGTTAATTTAAACACACAGTCCTTAAGAAAATATAAGCATGCTGCAATTCAGAGCACGCGTCATTGATAGAATCGCTACAGTGACTGGCTTAAAACGGCTGGCGACAGCTTATTGGCCGGCTTGTAGCAAGGTTGTCCAATGACACAGCGCCTGCTGTCAGACGCATTCGTCGGACCGGCCGTATTTGGCTTCCCCCAGATGGTACGGCTAACTGCAACACAATCCAATCTCGCGCCACACCGGGACCGCCGAATCCTATTGGTTGATTAAACCATGCAAATTCCCGTAAAGTCTAACAAGGTCGAAGATTATGGGGAAATGGTAGTTTACTAGATGGCTAGCCCGCATATTGTACATACAAATTCGTCTGTTCTTATGAAACCATAATGCACTTAGGAGTGAACTAGTAAGTGTACAAATTAGGCACGTGCCATGGTAGCCATGGCCTCTCGCATATTACCAGTTGAAAAATTGGTCGAACTTTCTCCCAAAATTTGACAGCTAGTCTCTTGGGGGGCGTATGGAGACATTGCTGGGCAGATTTCCGAGGAAGATGACTAATGAACACAAGTTTCTGTATGTTCATAAACCACGGCTGTGCAGATGGTCACGGGCTCAGATGTGTCCGCACAACCAATAGTGACGTAGAGACAGTTGAGATCCACCAAGGTGTGTGTCAACAGAAACGGTTTAACACAGTTCACGGCACGGATACCTTTCGGATTGGCCCGCTTTGTGGACGTAGTCGGAAGTTGTATTTGTCATAGAAACGCCCTACACTTCTTCCCTTAGATACCACGATTAAATTTAAGGGTTTTTCGGCGTTGAGTGCCTGATGGAGAAGACAGGACATGTCTAGGGGTTAGTCTGTCAGCATTTTGAAAGCGTCTCTGAAGGCCCGTACGCATCCAAGGCGTCTAGGTTAGTAAATGCGGCCCACTTTTTCAAAACAAGGCAGGTTTAACTCGACTAGCTTGCATCCAGCGGCCAATACCAACTGCGACAACAATTGGGGATCTTGTGGGTATGCAATGGCTGCTACAACAAAGCACCTCCACACAAACCCGACGGCTGAGGCATCACAAAATAGGTGAGTAATCCAGGCAACGCCCCTAGTCGGTGCGACCTTGACAATGGAGTGAATGATTGCCCCCCCCCCCCGACAATTAGTCATACCGTGCGCTAGCATGGCAGACGAGAAATGCCTCCTCCACCAATCACATCAACAGATTTTGCATGCCTCTGCGTGGTACTCTGTCGGCGATGCCAATGAGGTGGTGGGATTGTCGCCCACTCCCCGACCTATCTGATTGGTTGGAAAAAAAGTCACTTTGATAGACGTGTCTTGTCTACTAAGTGGTGTGTTTCAGTAACAAAAAACTACTAGTTGGCTACCCCAAATGACAAAAATGGTAAACTGCACTAGACGCATTTGTTTTAATAAAATTACGTTTATTTTATCTCTTTATAAACTAAATCGTACAGGGATGAGAGGTCGGTGGACCGCGTCTAGGTCGTATCCATCAGGATTGTCATGAATTCTTCCAGGCAAACTGCAACAAAAAGTAGGGACATTCAAAGACGGGGGAAAAACAACACTCAAATTTGATTGGACGCTGTGCTTTGTAAAGGCCACCTTGTTTACTCATTCCGTGGTTAGTTTGGGCACAAAATCAATATCCGTTGCTATAGCAACAGCGCGTACTTACTTTCCGTGATGACGACGTTCAGTACAGGCTGACAGGCGCATTTTAGTATTTAAAATACCTAATAAACGTGAGTTCGAGTTGCTTCATCCCTCGTTACGTTAACACGAAGACGCAAGTACAGCGTTTAGAGGGGCACTGAAATCCTGGCTTCTGATTGGACAAATTCTTGGCGGAAATTTAAAAACGTCAACGCAACAAAACAGGTGGACGCTTGGTGGGAACAACGACACCACTTACTAGATCGGTCACCGTCGCGGTCGAATTCGTCGATCATCACGTGGAGCTCGTCGTCCGTGAGGTTTTCGCCAAGATCTCTACAACAATAACAAATGCACCGTTTAGAAAGATTAAAAAAGAATGCAAACGGCGCTATTGAAACCACGTGAGTTGAGTAGGCGCGTAGAAACTATGTTGGTTGCAGCATAGTAGCTACCGCTAAGTGTGTCCCAATTGGAAACGCCTGCTTCTTGAGGGATGGGAACAGGCAATTCAACTATGACTGTTCCAGCACGATGATTGGTTCTTATAATCGAATTTTTTCCACATTGACGACCGTCTTTACTGTACCCATGGATTCATTGAGGTGTCATCGATGCCCTGTTATGGCCTCTAGTGGTGGTGATGGTGAGTCTGGAAAGGATTGGGGACATGTCCGATTATCGATTCTTCGGAAAATGACGAATCAAAATCAAAACGAAGCTGCTGAAACATGATTTCGAATGGCCAGACCAAGTTACCTTGTGATGGGAGGGTAATTTAAATTTTCCGCATGAACAAGCGTTTCTTGAACGACTTCAACAAGACGGGGGAGCAGTCAAATTCGAGCCTTGGTAGTTTAATCCAATTAAAGCTCACAAAGACTCATTAAACCAGTGATTTATTCAAGAGTGCTTCAGTGAGGTGTGAGAGAACGAACACCACGACGTGAACCAATGGAGTGTGTGCTTGAGAGGACGTTGCAGTAGATGACTGGTTGCGCGGAGAAGGCATCCACGGTTGTTGGACGAATGTGGAAACCCAGACCGGTGAACGTGTGGTTTCCACGAGGTAAAGCGTGATTAATAGTCAAAGCCAGGCCCGTTCACTCGCACGCACGCACGCACACATCAAACGAGTCGCATTTCCATGCCTAGTCCGAGTATGCAAGCGCAAGCAATGTATTCCAAAAACACGCACACACACACACACTCATGCGACCAGAGAAACGCACACATGCGACTGACGCATTCGCGAGCTCGCGTACACTAACAAAGACACGACACATGGCCGACGCACGGCCACGGCACGTGGTCGCCTGCTCAGTTTTCTTTCAATGGGCGGACGCACAAACAGATTAACCAGTAGGCGGCGATAACCCCGGTGCGTCTCTGTACACGAACTCGAAGGACATTGGGCGAATTGAATCGAGTTGACAGGTGGATACAGTTTTTAGAGGCATGCGACATTTGGCACGCCGCTGCCACACCAATAATTAGCAGGTGTGAGGCGCACTGAGTACTACTCGCGTTCTGCAATCTCATTGGTCGAGGTGGCAATTGGTCGTCAAAATTTCTTAAATGTTTACAATTAGGACGACTGCTGCGAGCTGGCGGTTACCTACCTCGGATAACGTTGTAAACTATTCATGGTTTACAACTTATCGGTTCATTTTCGAGAAATACCCACGCACGCACAATTATATCCAGGGCAGTTAGGTCACTCTGTTCAACGTGGGTCGAATTTCAACAACATTAATATGCACATTCAGTACAAATGAAAAACACGAGTAATCGAATGGGCGAACTGAACTCATGGTAAATTGACCAATCAAATTGGCAGAACACGGTCGCGCAAATATGACAACTGAAAAGCCTGGGATTTTTGTGCCTTACAATTTTTTTCGTCAGTATCGCGTCACGCAGGACCTACAGGGTACTATGTAGAGACATCGCTAAGAACAGAGAGCGAAAAACACAGGGAGAATATGATTAGATTAACAAAATACTACGACAGTGCAGTGGCCAGTGACCAACCACCTGCTCCTACGACGCTACTTACTTTATAATAGTACGTCTTACAAGATGTGCTTACTTGGCGATCTTTTTCAGCGTCCGATAGGAGATCTTGCCAGTACCTTCTTCGTCGAAAAGCTTGAAGACATGAATGATTTCACTTACTGGATCCCGTGATTGAATTAGGTTCTTCACTGAGAAATAATGCGATAATTTAATTAGTTAGACTCAGACGTTTCCTAAAGGGGGGAATTTGGTAAAAATTTAAGTAGCAATGCATGAGGGAGCAGACAGAGAGTCGCTAGCAAAATTATTGGTTCTGGGACTACCTAGAGAAAAGAAGCTTTTGAAGTCAACATTGTCCTCAGGCCCAAGATTGACGTTTTCCAGGAGGCTCGTAATTTCGGGTGTTTTGAGTTCAAATCCGAGAGCCACAAGGGCCACCTGATTGTCGGTTTAAGAGCATAACAGGAATTATCACTTTGAATTCGTAAGGAGAGAGGCGATTGTCTTTGTTACTATCGAAGAGAGCGAATGCCTCTGAAATCTCCTGCATTTGAACAGGTGTCAACTCGACTTTTTTAGGGCTTGCAAGACCTAAAAAAGGAGAAAAACTTGATGCAATTTTTCGAATCCGGGAAAGAAATTGTAATTATTGATCAGATGGAGTAATTGGAAAAATAACCTGCGAGTATTTCTTGTAAATAGCACGTTAGTCAACTAGTGAACGTGTCAAAGATCCACACAGTAACTTTGAGCGCGCGACAAGAGAAACTGGCTTGGTTGAATGAATGACCCATGACTCAGCTCCAAGCACACTATTCACCACATTTTCCCCTTTATCGAATTATTTGAAATATTCACAGATACGCATTAAACATAATCTACTTTAAATTAAGTAAGTATAATCTGTCCAGTAAAAATGATTCTGTATAATCGAGACATCATAAATTAGAAAAGAAAGTATGTAGCGCCATCGTTTAGATAATTACTATTTTACATTCACTACGCGTTTATTTCAGAGAGAAACAACACCATCGAACGTACAGTTCATGATGGCTACTATGGTAACGGTAAAGTGACGCTTTTACAATAGATGCGCTTATAATTAAGAAAACGTCAAACAAAATAAAACTCAGCTTAAAAAATTTTGCATTAAAGACAAGTGATTCAAAGTTTTGCACTAAGTAATTTAATTTAGAATGATAAAAATGCACACATTTGAATGGACAAATGTTTCCCAAAATTTTTTTTTTCCTTTGCATTACATTCATTTTTAATATTGAAATAGATTTTACATATAAGCTTGAGATATTAGCGCTAATTTTGGTAGTGCGATAACTTAAGAAGATTACAAAGGCAGAATGTATGGTACACTTGATTTAAAATTCCCTGTATTTTACTTCCATTTTGCAAGCGTTCATTTCCTTGCCGAAAGGATTTGGTTTGATGGTGGAAGCAACAGGGAAATACAAAAGATTGTTTTTTTGTCTGCTTGTAATAAAGCTATTGGACATGTCTAAAAGTTTTTTAAATTCGACAAGAAAATAAAAAGAGCATAGCGATCGTGCAACCAGCAATTTTATAAAAGTTAAATCACGCCAATAGAATGAAAACATGTGCCGCGGTGTTATGAAATTTATTAATTATCAATGCAGAAAATGAATCTTCATGAAACATAATGTGTTTAATATCCTTTCCTTTGCTGATGAATAACAATTGACATTTAGTCGACAAAAAAATCTAAATAAGTCCTTATGTGCATAATGAAAACTATGAAAATTTTGGAAAACCTTGGTCCGGATATGCAAATAGCATAGATTCAGCCGCAGAAATACCCATGGGCATATAATTTTAATTCGTCTATGAAAAAGAATATTTCTAAAGTATATTAATGAGCCGAAGTTAATGGATTTTGCTCCTAAATCGTGTTTGCCTGCGCCGATTCGCTTTAATAGGATAGTTAATCCAAAACCACCAGAAAAAAATACGAGTAATTTTCTTTTTTACGAATAACTGATGCTTTCGCTACAATCAAGGTTGCAGACGCTCAGTATTTTAAATAAATGTAAAAAAAACGCAACCAGTAATTCTTACACCAAATAAAGTAATGATTTGTCCTCAAACTTTGTAGATTACTACTAAATTCTAATGCACGGGCCTAATTTTTCTTTTATATTTGGTTTTTACGCTGCTATCCACTTTGATACATCTTATCCTTAGTTTTACAGGTGTTTAATAAAGAACAATATTTTGAAGGCACAAAGAACATTCGAGGCAAAATGACTTCAGATGAATGCTTTGAATTTAATCATCCATCCAAATTGTGTTGTCCTGAATGCTGGCACTCCTAGTTCGTAAGGCAAAAAAATAACTGCTTAAGTGAATTTTAGTGGTGCTAGACTTTAACATGGCTTAATCCTTTTCATGCAGCAGCAGCAGCAGCAGCAGCAGCAGCAGCAGCAGCAGCATGAATTGCCCGCTTCCTTGCCCAGTAAATACTCTTTTACGATCACATTATTTATTTACTTGTTGGCTGTAGCGTTCGGCAGTCAGTGTCTGTCCCGGAGTTCGTAATAAAGTACACCCTCAATGTCTCGCCATATACACTGAAATATCTTCTTCCAAGAGATGTGGTGTTTCGTCGTCCATGTATTGGGCTGCCCAAAATCTACCTACGACTTTTTACATTTGTTGTTGCTTAGCAAGTGGTGAGAGGTGGTATGTGTTCATACGTTGACCTCGGTTGCGTTCTGTCAAAATATGTGGAATCCAACTTTTAAATTTTCAATTTTTTTTTCTACCTGAAAACGGCTGCTTGAGTGTCTTCTAACCGAGCTGCAAGCTCTTGTTGCGTTTGCGTTTAGTCTTTATCTAATAGAACTTGTAATTCCGTATCTTCAGAATTTCGAGGATGTCCTAGGTGCGGCTGGTCACTAAGATCGAAATCACCACATCTAAAGCATTCGTACCAATAACGGCACGTTTCATTAGACAAGTTATGTAACTAGCGCAGACTCTTCGTTTGATGCTCTAAAACCTCGTTTTAAATCCTTCTTAAAACCACAAACGACCACGGAAATATTTCTATTTAAGCATAATTTTACAAATCTGCAAAAATTATGTCGTACACCTAGTGAGATACTTATTATCACGTCTACATTAGCGAATCCGCGTCTGACCAACAAGCGGCTTCAAACACTTGAGTGAAATTGTAATGTTGAGTATAATATTCAATCGGCTGCTTGTTAGGTGCATATCTTTGTGCTTCGTTTATATTTATATGAATTATTTAACCTTTAACAACTGTTTTGGAAGGCGGTACTTCAGGACAACTTCGTTTGCAAGAAATTGCGAGATATATTTTCAAAAGTTCCGGGATGACAATAAGGCAATTTCAGTTTGTCCAGGAAGACAAATCACTTCCACAAGGGACAGTCGCCGATGGCGTAAGTCGTTATTCCAGGTTTACCACAATAATATCAATCAAACTTTTCTTTAAAGAATCAACTTAGGAGTTTAAATTAAAAATTGTGATCTAATGATCACACTAATTGCTTGAGAGGTTACCCGTGCAAGAAGTTAATGGCGCTTAAATCAAAGCCAAAAATCACGCTAAACGTCAAAATGCAAGCCCACGAGCCACCGAAGTGATATTAAATTCAGTTTATGCCCTATAAACTAATAGTAATTTACATCTCGCGTGTGCTTATTGCAGGGATCGAATTTTGACGAATTAATCAAACGCCGTTTAGTCAGTATTAAATAACAAATGTCATTATGCAGGCGTGCTGAACCAGGATGTGCTACATTGGAGGCTGAGCAGCATCAAGGAGGATTTCGATGCCAAGGTTTCGGTGTTAAGAAGGTGCTTTCAAAGTCTCGCTGACAAGAACTGCTAAACTCCATTCAAAAGAAATCAATAAAGCAACTCTATTGGTGGATTCTAGGCCCAGGCTCAAATAACGGAGAACCCTGTTATCTAAAGTCAAATTTAATCAAGAAAATAATCAGTGCCCGTGGAGTAGATCTAGAAGTGAATCGTGCTAATTCACGTCCACCAACTCGCCAACCTAACCCCTTATCGATTTTGTCAAACCATCTGCTCAAACATCAACGTGCGCGTATCACTTGGCCTGGCAATTCAGTCAGTTTTTCTTATACAAATTTACCAAAAATAGTGAGGCTAGACAATCCCATTAACTGAAAAACGTTTCTTTCACATTGGCCCAACTAACATGACTTGGTTGAGCTGTTGTTTCGGCCGTCTCTAGTTTTCCAATTGGCCCACGACAAATGGTGCCTGAAATATGCATTGAATACTTTGAAATGACACGATTTGATTTCTCGTGGTTCCATTAAATATGACTTGGGAGGCAACTTGATTGCTTTTTTACAATCCACAAGTCATAAACTATGGGTCAAAGTTAGTTCCATAAAAGATACGCCAAAAAAGCCACAAACCAAAGTCATTTTATGCACTCAAAGGGCGATCTTTGGAGGACATGACAATCCCCAGTGGCGTGTATGGAAAAAATTCACAAAAATGCAGTGGACGTGTCGCCAAATTGCATTCTCGCTGGTCAGAGCAACTGAATTACATAGTTTTAAATATCAGTTGATGAAAACGTAGTTTTATATCGAATGTGGCAGCATATCTTGCAATTCGCCAAGTTCATTAGGTCCTTAGAATGTGGCTGAAATTAACCTAAATTTACCTAGCACAAACTCCAGCTAACAAATCAGCCAGAATCAAAACCAGGCCCCAGACAATTTTTCATAAATTTTTGACAAGAACATCAACTCAAGCATTGCTCGAGTTTGGATTAGCAAAGGGTGTGGTTAACCACTAACTTGTCCCAGCGCAATCGGATTGGCTAATTTACAACGATTTCGACATTGCTAACGTTTGAATTCAGATTTTATGTAGATTCATCCACGAAACCCCAAATCCCAATGCAACTGGCAATGATTTCGACATTTTCAAGAAGGACTCAAACCATTTAACCAGTGAATTATCATAGATTTATGTCTACTTAAATTGAATCCTTTCGCCTAAGGATTGACCCGCCACGTGGCCTACGAGTCTGGCGGAAATTTTGGCAAAAATCAATGTGTTAAGTCTATCGCAGAAACACTCTGAAGCGGAAGTGATCCAATCCGATCAGCGGCATGTGACAATGAAAACGCGCCTTTTATGTGCCTGCGAAACTCAAAACTCACCTCCCGTCCTCATTTACAGTGTACGTTTGAGTGATTCTTTGGTGTAACCACAAGCTACCAATATCACCAACTAGTTTGCAAGCATTCTTAATATTTGCAGAATAAACCATAATGACTCCAATGGTATTTGGTTTAGTACAACAAACATATTTGGCCTAAAATTGCCTATTTCGTGATCATCACCTACACAATGAAATCTGGAATTGAACGCAAGTTGCAGGTGTTACCAAGCACTTCGACAGTAGCATTAGAATGGGCCTTGGAGTTCAGAAGACGTCTTCCCCTCTTGGACACTTCGAAGGTGGCAGCACATGCACTTTTGACAGAGCTGAACACACCACGCCACGCAGCGCCGGTATCCAAATGAGCAGACAACATGGCACCACGTTGGCATGGACTACCAACAGCAGACCGCCAACCTTCTGCTGTGGACTGTTGATTATGAAGGTGGTCGCGCCAACAGCACTCAAGAACTGGTAGGTGGAGTCGTACAGGAAGGTCAGAACCTGACTCAACGCCATGGGGACAATGCACATCGAGGCAGTTCGCCAGCCCCTGATATGTCTCAGCCTCTGTTCTTCACTCTTCGATAAGTCCTTGTACCACATCGTGTTCAGCTCGTCTACGTGGTTTTTGGTTGACATTTCACGAACCCAAAGGATGACTTGAGAGGCAGCCAGTAGGAGAAGAGTGCTGTCGAGCACAAAAAGCAACGAAAACCAGAGGTACACGTGCGCGTAAATGAGTGCTAGGAAGGGTATATTCACCGTGGTTGGAGCACACGAGCATCCCCCATCCTGATTATTGACAGTGAGTATTTGCGGAGCTGTAATTAGAACACTAAAGACGTGAATCGTGACCTCGAAGTAGATGATGCGTCGTTTCTCCGAAGTGAACTGATACAAGTCCGGTTTTTGCATCAAGATCGCCCTGTCAATGGAGAAGAAGACGAGGCATTCGATGGCTGCCACCGTGAATATCCAGTAGAAAAACCTGGATTTCCAGAGCACACACACTAGGACATTGAAAATCACATTGTTGGAGGAAATGCCGTATGGGGTTGAATCTTCAGCTAAATTGGTGACACATAAAAACAGACAGCACATCGTTAGAGTTCGAAGAAGCGTCAGGCTGGTCTTGGGTCCATGCTGTAATCGAAATAGCAGTAGTATTGTAAACGCATTCAAAATTATGCCACTGATCTCGAAAATGAAGTACAAAATGTCAATCGCATCAGGCCAGTTCGTGAACGGAATGCAATACCAGAAGGTCTTGGAAATAAAGTCATGGGCTGGGGCTGTGTGGTTCATGCGAAGAACGCTTTTGTGAAGGAATTTTCATACATAATCCAGGGCATATTTTCTGGGTAAATTCGACCAATTACAATGGTGCAATTTATCAACGCTTGTAATTGGTTGTATCCGGACGTGGAATGTGGGTCCTCAGATTCCTACTGATGGATAAAAGAGACTGGCTTTTCAGTGCAAACTGATTGGCCACTTTACAAAAATTTAACACACCATTTATTATTTGATGAGCTCACCTCGTTTAACCAGAGCATAAATCCAGGCAATTAGAAAAATCTTAGCCGTCTCATAGGTATTAGATTGGACTTACACATGTAAATTTAGTCGGGAGGGTTGCAGTTTGCAATGTGCATAAGAAATGACTGATCTGCAAATGACGGTAGAAGGGTGCGCTTGTGCCAAGCTTATTTAAAACTAGGAATATTAGAAGGTGATGCCCTTAGCCAAGTCTGCACGCAGTTGTAAAAGTTCCACTGGTCATTCCCACGCCCCGTCCCGAGGTGGCAACCTTTCAACTTCATTCATCTAAATGGTCAGATTAAATGTGGTTTCCACTATTTATCAGCTAGTGTTAGTTTGAAATCCGTTCACCGTATCAGGAGTAGAGGAACAAGGGTGCGCCGGTGCCAAACAACATGCGTGTTCGCTTGCCCGTTTTAGCAACTAAGTACTGAGCACCCACTTAAAGTGGAGCCGTTCCTCACTTGAGTTTATCCACAACGCCTACACAGTGGAAACTGAACCAACTTAAATGACGCTTAGAGGGATGCAAGTCAACCGTTCAAAATGTAGAGCCTACACAGGACGTCCAGGG